ATCTAAATGTAAGACTGTACCAGTTTGTTCACCCCTGTAGTTTGAGAAAAATGTAATTGAGATGACTTAACAAGAAGGGAATTGAGGTTAAAAGGAAGCTAGAGACTCTGTAAACAAGGCTAAAAATAAGCTAAAATGTAATTTGATGGAGTAACCCATTCTTCATGAGTTCAGGTTGGACATAAAAACAATTCTCCAAGAGTCCCTAACCATGCCTCCGGCAAATATATGCCAACCCAAACGCATCAAAGGCAGATCATCATGAAAATTGTTGTCATTATTTGGACTGCTGATATTACAGATATGTTGCCCATTCTCTCTCTCTCTCTTCTTGGTTGCCACTTGCCACATGTTACCACACGAGGCATCTCCCTCTAGTTATAGTCTCATACCCAAAACTGGAACCCCATTTCAATTGGCTTAGATTCTTTGCCACTCACTACATGTAGCAAGTGAAAAAGAGGGGCAATTGTAAGCATAGACTTTCCAAATTACTTTGTCTTTCTTTCCCCTTCTTTTATTTTTCTTTCTCCCTTGGGCTCCACCCCTTTTTCATTTCTTTCCTTTTCTCTCTCTTTCCCTTTCTCTCTCTCCCCTAATTTTCTTCCTAAAATCTCTCTCCCTATATCTCATTTCTCTCCTTATTTCTCTCTCCCCCAATGCTCCTTTTAGGACCTAATAAAACCCCAAAGGCTCATCGGGACTAATTTTTTAGTCTTTACGTTTTAACAAGATCACAAAAAAGCCTTGCTTCCGTTCACCGTCTCTACTGCACATCAAATAGATTGGCTTTCTTGCACACCTCCTTGGTTTCTCATTTCACTAGGGCAACTACTATCTCAGCCATTTATATTGCTTCATAGTAGGGCTCTTGCAGACCACCCTCAAACCTTCCGTACATGTGACATTGTACGCTAGAAAGGAAGCCTGCCATTGATACAAACAATATCCCAATTCAATTAACTGGGAAGATCTACAGCCGCTTGATTTGATGATAGTATTTTATTTCATTTCATCTACATTTCTGGTTGTTCATTATAACCATTGTGGCATTGTTTTGTCTTGACTATGGTCACATATAGATTATAAAGTGATTCTTGATAACCCTATTTCCTTGGCTATAAGCATTTATCTTTCAGATTTGGGTCTAGAATTTATTTCTATATTTTGAACAATTAATTTTTCTATTCAGATTTCTTTGAATCTCCAAAGCCAATTGATCCTGCGAACAAAGTCACTACTACTCCTTGATGGTTTCTAAAAGACCCCCCCATGCCTGCCCTCCCCGGATTGCCAAAGGAGCTGTCGTTAAAGTTCAACTTCAGCTTATTTGGCTTACAATCCCTTTATGTGTATCTGTTTGTACCACTTCAGTCCATTTCCATAATATGTCATTTGTAGAGACATCTCTGAATGGTTCCACTGTTTTTACCCAATCAGATCTGACTTTTATGGTTTCAATCACTTACTCCTTAGACTTAACACTTCTCATTAAAGATCCTTTGGTTTCTTTCTTCCCAAATAGTTCATACCAAGGCTGCTCTTATTGTCCTCCTCAAACATCTTCCCCTTTTTCTGTTGCTTCAAGAAGTTGGAGTTGAACAAACTAACCACATCTTGTGGGGAAACCTATCTGCAACCAAAAAGAGGGCAAAAGTATTCCCAAATGCAAGACACAAAAGAGTAGGAGATTAGTAAATGAGAAAGGGTCTCACCATTAACCTTACAAAGGATACACATGAGGAGAGAGACATTTACTTGGCCTTCTTTTCTGTAGCACATTGCAAGTGTTAACCTTTTTCAAGGAACATTTCCCAACAAAGAGCTTGCAATTTAAGAGGGATTTGTTTGCACCAAATTTCTCCCACTAAGAAACTCACCCCACATGTTTTGAGTGGATAAGAAGATTAAAGAAGGATGCACAAGAGAAGAGGCCATCATGGGAGGGATACCATACTCTACCATCCAAAAAGGTTTGATCTTAAAAAATAAATAAACAAATAAAACTTTTCCAAATTGGAAAATAGGAGAATAAGGGATTCACACTTCAAACCCCTTCTGAACCCAAAGTCACAATTTAACCCATGTTCTAAGGGCAAACCAAATCAAAAAGTAGGTTCCCCCTTATGGTTTGGTGATGAGTAGAGTACAAGGAATTGCAATTTAAGGGGTAAATCCCCAATCTAGAGGTCTTCCCAGAATAAGACTGTACTCCCACATCCCACATTGATACGGATGAAATTAAGAAAGGTTCACAATACCTCAAAGATTACTTTCCATGGGGAGTTTGAAGCAATATAAGGTGCTAGTTTTGCATCCCAGGCTCCCAACCTTTTGTCCGCTACACCATGAATGCCTCCAATGACCCTATGCCACAATCCATTTCCTTCTAGGGGAAATCTCCAAAGTCACTTTCCTAGAAGAGTTGTATTCCTCTTCATCAAATTCCCAATACCTAGTCCTCCTTGCTCCTTAGATTTACACACCTATTCCCATTTCACCAAATGATCTTTCTTTTCATCTCTTGGCTCTCATAACAAGTCTCATCATTTTTCTAGTTGTCTTTCTATTTTTTGTCAGGATTCTAAAGGTGGACAGGTAGTAAGTGGGCAAATTAGCTAGGGTGGATTTGATCAAAGTGAGCCTTCCTCCCATAGAGATGTAGCTCCTCTTCCACAAAGCTAACCTTTTAGTAAATCTTTATACAATTGGTTTCCAAAAGCTATCTACTCTTGGGTTTTCTCCCAATGGCATACCAAGATTCTCTAGAGGTCAATGTTTCACCTCACATCCTAGTATCCCGGCCAACAACTAGATGTCTCCCTCTCCCAAATTAACCTCCACCACACATGACACAACTCTCTTTCCAATTGACTTTTAAATTTGAGATCCTTTGGAAACGATCAACTAAAGCTTTCAAGTTCCCTAAACTGAGTTTAGTACAGTTCTCAAAAAAAAAAAAAAACTATGCCATCTACAAATTGCAAGTGAGTCACAACAACCTCATTTTTCCCAATCTTCCACCTCTAAACTGGTTTTCAATATTAACCTTACTAATCAACCTACTCAATGCCTCAGCAATAAGGGTGAACAAGAAAGGGGAAATGGGATCTCCTTGCCTTAGACCTATTTTACCCAAGAAAAAAAAAATCCTTAGCCACTCCATTGATTAGTATTGAGAAATGTGTCGAACTAATACAGCCTTTGATCCACTATCTCTATCTCTCTCCCAGGACAATTTTTTCCAACAAATCCAGGAGGAAGGACCAATCCACCGTATCATAGGCTTTCTCCAAATCCAATTTGTAGATTAAATCTTCCCTTCCCTGCTTTTTCTTTTCTAGCACACACTCATTTGCCACAAGAATGTGGTCAACTATTTGTCTCCCTTCAAAAAAGGCTTCTTGATTTTGAGAGATTACCAAAGGGAAAATAGTCTTAAACCTTCTAGCTAGGACATTGGCGATGATTTTATATAGGCTACCTACAAGGCTTATAGGTCTATAGTCCTTTGTAGTCTTGACCTCTTTCTTCTTAGGCACTAGGGCTAGTAATGTTGCATTTGCCCCTTATTATAGAACTCAACAAAAACATCCATCAAATCGGCTTTTATGATTTCCCAGCAATCTTGATAGAAATCCAATAAGAAACCATCAGGCCCTGGGGCTTTAGATCCTTACGTTGAGATAACTGCTTCATGAACCTCTTCCACACTGAAGCTTCTTTCTAGAGGGACTACTTGGGTTTCTAGCACTCTAATCTAATCCAAGTTCCCCACTTCTGTGTTCCTTTCTCCTAAGGAGGCAAAGATTGACTTAAAATGATCTAAAAAATTCTTGACAACTTCCTCCTCCAAAGTTACCACCCGACCTTCAACCTCAATGCTAGAGAGATCAAGTAGTAGAAGGAACAATACCTACCAGCGATGGTAAAGCGAACAAGCAACAGGTGGTGGTCTGGAGCCCTAAAGCACTGGAAATCCTTGCAATCGACTCTTAGGTTAGGCAAAAAAAAGTGAGGTTAGGGATCTTTCATGAATAAACGGGAATGAAATATAGGTACAAGAAGGACTTATACTTGCTGAAGACGGAACCATTAGTTGGACTTGAGCAGCGATGACAATCCTAAATAATCGGTTATACCTGCCAAGTTTGAATGGTGATGGCCCAAAGTTGTGATTCTTCCATAAACAAACAAAAGAGAAAGAAAAAAGAAACACTTAGATACTTACCGACGGCGGAAAATCCGTAGGGAATGCAGCAATGACAGGAAATGGCAAGGCACAACGACAATGAGAAACATCTCCAATGTATGAGGAAGAAACCCTCTAAACCCTACTTGACACTTAATACACAAAATTTGTCTATCTCACAATGCATCATATCTCATTATCTTCCTATCACGTCAGACTCCCCGTGGGATCCACGTCAGCTCCATGCCATCGTGTCATGGGGGCACCAATGGGGCGATACGAGAAATGTCACTTTCCCGATTTACTAGGCATGGACATCGTCACTTCCCGATTTACTAGGCATGGACATTTGTCAACGTTTTAACATTCCATGTATAGACCACTTTCCTAATTTACAAGGCATGGGTGTTTGTCAACATCTTTTCATTAAACACCTCAACCAAAAAGTAATTTTTACCTGAAAAACAGAAACACATAACTGGCGCCAAGGTGGCACCGTTTTTCTGAAAAGCGGCAACACTACCAAACATCCCCTTAATTGCATATTCAATAAAAATAGTTATGTTATGGATATGGTAAAAATTATCATGTTGAAAAGACATCATATTGAAAAGGCTTTAATCCATCAAAACCTCCAGTAAATTTTGATGAAAACCCACCTAATTGGTTACCAGTTACTACTATGATAATGCCGGTTGATTGGTTAAAAGATTTTCTGGTATCTTGTCCCTCCCGCATCATAGTCAAACTTCATGAGCTTAGCAATCAGGAATTCAACATTGGGTGAGCAAAAAAAACAGCAATCAAATCCATATAAGACAATACTTCTTTCTTCAATTAATTAAAAAGAGATAAATACTATTGTAGCAAATGCAAGCCACGATCACTAAATACATGAAAAGCAAAGTTACCATTCAGGCATACAGTTCCGAATCCTTAATCCGATCAAAACCCACATCACAATCACCATCGAAAGCCCTAACGTCCAACTTAGACAACACAGAATTATCAAGCAAAGATTTAACCAGCGCCACTGCCGAAGGCCCACATTCCGGCCAGGAAACACAAAGCGTCCCTTGAATCCTCCTCATCTGACACCTCGTCAAAAGCGCCGCACCAAGACCATCAACCATACTCCCCGAAGGAAACCACCCCACCCCGCAAACCATCTGTTGTCCCGACGTTGACGACGTCTCGAGCTTAAACACAAGCATCTCGTCGGCAGAGAGATTTCCACGAAAATTCCGACTCTGCACCGAATCCAAAATCAAAACTCTCTCCGGCCTGATCTCTCCTTCATCGATTATCAGTTTCGCCACCGCATAAGCCCTCTCTCCTGCGACGGGGAGCTGGACGGACATAAATAGAATGGCAGGGTCGTCGATGGAGGCGTAGATGTCACAAGATTTGGAACGGTGAGAAGGTTCGATGGGGTTGCCAGAAAAGGAGATCTCAGGGAGAATTAGGGTTCCAATTAGGGTTTTGGAAGGAATGCAGTGGTGGAGAAGATAGATAGATGGGGGAGAGATAGCCACGACGAGGAGGGATGGGCGGAGGGGAAAGTTAGAGTCAGGTTTAGAAAAAACGAAGAAGGGAGATGGGAGAGCAGGCGATGGTAGAGCAAAGTTGTTGAGGTCTTCATTGAAGAACCTTGAAGGGGGGGGAATGTCTGTTATTACATCTTCCATCTCCGTCTATCTCCGAAGCTCCTTGTTTCTCCGTTTCTCGACTTTCTGTTTCTGAGGCAATCCAAACCAGTGAAATGAGCGACAGCGACAGCGACAGCGACAGAGGCAGAGCGATATCAACTGATTTGGCGTGGTAAAGGTAATTGGTAAATAGAGTTCAGCGCAAACCCCATAAGAATTAGGGACTTGGGCCTAGGTCTGGCCCAACCCGGACTTGGGCCAGATTTTGTCAATGTATTCACAGCTTTTAAGGCTACTCGTATGCTTTACCAAAAGAAAAAGGCTACTTATGCCCAACCCAACTCACACCCCAAGCCTAATAATACTTGTCTAGGTCTAGGACAATACAAGCTTACTTGTATTAATTAAAAAACTCTGATTTTTTATAAATTAAAGTTTTGTTTAATTTTAGTCAAAATTATAGAAAATATATAAAAAATGGGCTTTTATAGGGGAAAAAATACCAGGTTTGGTTATTTGGCAACTCATATACATTTTCAAAAAAGAAATTGCAAAAAAGAGTAAGCGGGAGAGTTTTTATTTGAACTATATCCCCGATCCCCAATGGGGATGGGTTCCCCGTGGGACTTTGAATCCTCCATTTTTTTAGATAACAGTATTTTTTATTTAAAATAAATAAAAATTTATAAATTATAAATAATGTTTTAAATATGTTTTGATATATATATAATATAAATAATATAATAATATATATTTAATATAAATATATTATATATTGTATATATATAATTGGAGTTGGAGTAAGGTGGGGACCTCAATCCCCAATCCTGACCTCGACCGAGAATTCCTATTAATCCCCTTCTCCGTTTTCACCTCACCAAAACAATCCCCATCCCTGACCCCAACAGGTCGAGGAAAATGAATTCCCATCGGAGATAGGAAAAATTGCCATCCCTACTTTAGTTATATAAGAGACTTCTTTGTTTATTTTGAAGGGTCAGTTCCACACTCGGTTGGAACTCAAGTTATGACATGAGATTATAAATAACCCTATAGAATTGAAATAGTTGTGCTAAATCTTAACTAGAGTCCCTGTAATAGAATGGGATTCGGTGGTAGAACTTGAAAATGCACTTAATGAGGTCATAGATATTCATGAAGATCAAGAATTGGTATCAAGCTCTTTTCCACCTTCACGTGGATATACCAATCATATGACAAAATGTCAGGGGAGTTGAAAATCCATCAGCCTAATTCATTGGTTTCAATAACTCAAAAAAAGCTTGAAAAAAAGTATGACGTTTCATGTTTGAAAACAGAGAACATCATGTGGAATTCAAGAAAAGCAAAGTATACCATGTGGCATGGGCAATATGTTATGGAAATAAGCAAAATATAAGGCTCGTTTGATTCGGGGGAATAGGGGTTTGGAATCTGAATCGGAATAGAATATTCTGATTCCAACTGTTTGGTTGGGCAGAATTAGAATCCCATTCCCCTATTTGAGGGAATGGTCATTTCATGTTCATCCTTTGGGAATGAAATTTCATTTCTACTGATTTTAGGGTCTGTTTGATTTGCAGTTGGAATCGGAATCGAAATTGGAATGGTTCATTCTCATAATCTGTTTGGTTCAAATATGAATGGTTCAGATGGGGGAATGGTCCATTCCCATAATCCTTGGGATTTCATTCCCAAGGGAGGGGCAAGGAATGGCCATTCCTTCAAATGGGGAATGCCATTCTAGTATGAATGGGAATGGTATTTCGATTCCGCCAAACCAAACAGTTGGAATCGGGATAGCTCATCCTGATTCCGATTCCGATTTCATACCCCTATTCTCGTGAACCAAACGTGGCCTTAATTCTTATTTCCATTCATGACTGAACCAAACAAACTATGGGAATGGACCATTTTGATTCCGATTCCGATTGCAAACCAAATTGACCCTAAGTTTTAATCATTTTTGTTTTGTGTGTTGGATGTCAAGATAACTCATTGTATATGTTTATATTAATGGCAATATGAAAAATGTCTTTAGTAATTTATTGAATAAATTTTTACTATCATTATATATATATACATACTTATCTACCACCAGTTTTCGGGTCGACGATTCGATCATCCGGTTCGAATAGACGGCCCGTTCTAACAACAAAAATTACAGGCAGAAAATTATGGAATCATTCTAGCCACCGATTTTCGGGTCAACGGTTTGACTGTCTAGTTTGAACGGACAGCCCATTCTGACAACGAAAATTAAAAGCAAAAAATTGAGTGTGTGAGGTCTATTAAGTAGTATCCTACGTGTTATGTCATTCAAGCGTGTATCTCATACAACCCGAAAACGGAAACCGTTCTGGCCACTGGTTTTTGGGTCGGTAGTTCGACCGTCCGATTTTAACAGACGGCCCTTTCTGACAAAAAAATTACAGGCAAAAAATTATGAAACAATTCTAGCCACCGGTTTTTGGGTCGACGGTTTGACAATCTGGTTTGAATGGACGACCCGTTTTGACAACAAAAAATTACAAGCAAAAAATTGAGTGTGTGAGGTCCATTAAGCAATATCATACGTGTTATTTCATTCGAGCGTGTGTCTCATACGACCAAAAAATGAAACTATTATGGCCACCGGTTTTCGGGTTGACGGTTTGACCATCCAGTTCGAACGAACGGCCTATTCTAACAACAAAAATTAAAAAAAATTAAAAAGGCCAAAAATCATTGAACGGGTCAATGGGTCAACGGTTCGATCGCTTAGGTCAATGGGTCGTTGATTGATTCAACGGTTTTTGGCCAAGGACCGGCATTGGGATAAAACGAAACCGGTTGCTTGGACGGCTCCCAATTACAAAAATAAAAAATGGCGGTTCAACCGTTCGTTTCGAACGAACGGCCCGTTCTAAAAACAAAAATTACAGGAAAAAAAATTGAGTGTGTGAGGTCCATTAAGCAGTAACATACGTGTTATGTCATTCGAGCGCATGACTCATACAACCCAAAAACGAAACTGTTCTGGCCACTGGTTTTTGAGTTGACGGTTTGACTATCTGGTTCGAATGAATGGCTCATTCTGACAACAAAAAATAAAAAGCAAAAAAAAAAAAAACCAACCAAAAACCATTGAACGGGTCAACGAGACAATTCGACCACCCAGGTCAATGGGTCGTTGACCGATTCAATGATTTTTGACCAGGGATCGGGATTGGGATAAAATGAAACCAGTTGCCTAGATGGTTCCCAATTAAAAGAATATTAAAAAAAATGGTCAGAAACCATTGAACGGGTCAATGGGTCATTGACCGATTCAATGATATTTTGCTAGGGACTGGGATTGGGCTAAAATGGAACCGGTTGCTTGGACGGCTCTCGGGCCAAAATTTTCTTCCGTTTAGGTCAATGTCGGTTCGAAAACCATGGCTTTTTATGCTTTTGGATTTTCACTATTTAAAGGTTTTTTCTACTATGGGTTTTATTCAAGCGCGTGCAATATGTTCATTTTTTTCATTTTCTACTTTTTTTTGTGCTTGGTCTTCTTCTTCAAGATCCTCCAAAACGGTCTATGGTTTACCATCATTTTATTTCTTCCTTTTTGTTTTTTTCTTTGGGTTTTCTTGTGCAATATATTTTTTTTTAATTTTCTTACAATACAATATGCTTTGTCTCTTTCATTGATTACATATAAGTTTAGCTCGGTCTCAAAGCGGAACTTTGGGCTCGATTTTCTGATTTTTTTTCCTTGGTTTTTCCAATTTGGTGGATTTACTGCCAATTTTTTGGTCATTTTGGATTTATCTTTCAAGTTTTGGAATTCCTTGCAATGTCCATCATTCCCATGACTATGACTACAAAGTTATTTCGTCTAATTATTGACATCTAGAAAAAATGACCCAGAAACAGAACTGTTATGGCCACCAATTTCCAAGTCGACAGTTCGATCGTCTGATTCGAACGGATGGCCCGTTCTAACAACAAAAAAATAATTAAAAATAAAAAATGGCAAAAAACCGTTGAGCGGAGATTTCAGTTGATTTTTGCCATTCGAATCTAGTAATCATTAATGTGATGTAGTTAGGTAGTGGTGATTAACCAACTAATGTCATCAACAAGGTTTTTAAAACCAACCCGGACAACAAACCGATCAGGGGCCTGGTTCCTGGGTCGAACGGTCTAACTGTTTGAATCGAACAATCAGCCCATTCTGACAAAAAAATAAAAAACGGTCAAAATTATTGAACGGTTCGAATGGCTCAACTGATTGGATCAACGGTTTGTTGACCAAATCAATATTTTTTGACAAAAATCCTATTTTGAAGAAAAATGAAACTGGTCCCCGGTTTTTCCGGTCCGATCCGGTTTTGAAAACCATGGTCATAAATTTTGAGAAAATTTATGTGGTCGAATACTCAAAACTAAAAAAATATGAGAGAAGTTACGTGATTCATAATTTCGTATATGAATTTTGGATTATTACTAAAAACTCACCATTACTCTATTTGAGAAAAGCTAAATGAATTATGAACTATTACTGAAAATATGAGAAAATTATGTGGTTGAATACTTCTTATTGATGATTAGTGAAACTATGAAAAATATGACAACACATATTCATAATTTTCTTCATCGTAGGTTCAATCCAGTTTGGGTTAATCAATGATTATTGAAAAATATAAGAAAACGTACTTATATTTTTGTTATTTGATTTGATGGAAGAAAGGAGAAGGAATGCTATTTTAACTAAATGCTTAAAGTATATTAAAAGTAAAGAAAGAAATCTAATGAAACCAAGTAAAGTCAGTTCATTAAAGCTATGTTTGGTTTGTTGGAAAAGGTAGGAAAAATAAAGAAAAATTAAGAAACCTATATAAGATTTGTGAAGGTTTTCCTAACTTTCATTTCTTTTCCCTACTTTCTCCTTCAAACCAAACATAACATAAGGAAACTGTATCTTAACACGTATTAAGGAAATTCTATCTTAACTAAATGTCAATTTATTAAGGGATTGTTTTTTTTTTTTTCTCATTTAGAGAATTAATCTGAAGAAACAGGGTGATGCTACTGTTATTCTGATTTTGACAAACAAGAATGAGACAAATGTGCCAAATGCTTGAGCAAATTCTTTGGATGAAAATTTCCAGAATTCATTATTTCTTGGATAGATAGTAAAGATGAGA